CTGTATTATTGCAATTTTTTTTTTGTAAAAGTAGCAGTTTGGTATGAGTTGGCATGCATACAAGATTTACTAAGTGGGATAAGCTAATTATACTTTTTGTTGTGGATAAACAAATGCTTGTTGATAGCCTTTTTCTATCAAGAAACCAAGGAGCTAATTATTAATAACAATCATTGCACACTGAGTCTTAGCGTTTCTGACGGAAACAGTTTGGATTGTATAATAACGCCAAGCCCAGTTGTAGTAACGTTTGAGTGCAGTAATGAAATCTGAATCTAAAATAAAAACAAGATTATTTTTGTCATGCTGACTCCACTGCTTGAAACATTTGTTTACTGCCCCCCCAAATTTTTAACAATTAATGCAGTAAATAGGAAAATTAATTTTAGCTCCCTAAGACGTAAATGTACTTGAAAATTTTAACCACAAAGTAAATTACTTGATAATAGCCACTGATTTCTTGAAGCTGACTTAATGAACTCCTAATATCAGCAAATTTAAGGCCTAAGGGCACTAAACTAACTGTAGACTCAGACTGCATTCAACAGAATTACTCACCTAATATCGGTGAAATTATTCTTGCACATAATGGTAAACCCAAGTACAGAGGTAAGTCTTTTTACTAAGAACATTACCTAGGATGAGCAGTATATGCTTATTAGGAAATTAACTATGTGAATTGAAGAGACCAGACTTCAAAATCTAATTTTTATAAATATGCTCTATGTTCTCATTGGATAAAACTGGTTATTAACCAATTTTCCAGAACAGCTGTACAGAATTTCTGCATGGCAGCCAGCTAAATGGTACAAAACAACATGTTTAAGCTGGAATAGCTTATAATTTTATTTAAATAAAATCGCTGCTATAAAAAGTGCTTCCCAAAGCTAAGGAAAATATACAAATATTTTAATTAAGGCAAAGTCTCGTTTAAAAAAAAAATCATCCTTTGAGGAGTGATTGCTTTGTAAACAAAGGATGGGTCAGAGGAGAGCGCCTTAAACTCAAGCCTGACTTTCAGGCTCATGTCACCCTATAAACCCGCCCCGAACAATTCTATTTTCTATTTGAAAAGAGAAACCAGCTGTGGGTTGGGTTTACTAGGTGACGTGTGATTGACTGACTCACCTGCTGGAGCAGCCCCGTGCATTCTCACCTTTTGTTTATTGGGCCTTGTTTCTAAACACGTGGATGTGCAGACGGAGCGAAGCTCAACCACCAGCAGCCTCTGCGCGCAGCGCCCTCCGCCCCACCCCGCCCCCACCCCCTGTGTGGGATTGTTTAAATTTCTTATTTGGATCCAGTGGCAATTCTTCGGCGACATAAATACTCCGTATTTAGTGAAATAATTCTCTTTTGAGAGCTGGTTGCTAGCAGTGAACAACCATTTATTTACTTTAAAAATTAATAATAAACTTTATAAACTACCCATCCATTTGCCCCTCCTCCCCAGTACATGCCTGGGTGAGTAGGTTATTTTCAGTCTTTCTTCTCCACCGTGCTCTCGCTGGTTGGGGGAGGGAAAGAAAGGGGAGGAGGGAGGGAGAGAGACCGAGGGAGAGAGAGATGGGAAGGGGGGAGTGGAGAGAGGCGGGCCCTAGGAGAAGGAGTAGGGTACCAGTGAAGAATCAGGGAATATGGAGACTATGAAGAATCACGACCATTAGTGTCCGGTGAATTAGAAAAAATAAACCAAACTGTGCTCTTTCCCTGTGTTCCCGGATCTGGGCGGTGTTTTTGTGAGGGCCTTGTTCTCCGCAGATCCTTTCCCCCCTTCCCTGGACACCCCCACTCCCCCTTAATGCGATTTTCGCGTTCCTCTTATAAATTTCAGAGCCAGCTCAGAGGTTATTGAGGACACTTATCTGAAAGAAAGAAATAATAGAGGTGCTGAGGGTGTTTTTGATGTTTCTTAAAAGGCAAAAACAAAACGCCCTCTTCTAAACAAGGGCACACAATATGTACCTGCTTTTTATTTTTAATTTGAGGGGGGCGCTTGTTGAATGAGACTTTTTAGTACGATTTAAATATTTTTTTAAAAACACAAAATATTTTACCCTATCATATTTAATCAGCTGTAATTATAACACATTCGAAATGAATAATATGCCTTGACAGTATTTTTATTGTTATTGTTCATTGCATGATGTTCGACTGCTTTAGAAGCACAGGAAAGAGAAGTAAACGCGCTACAAATGGGGAATTACCCTCGTTTAGCATTAAAATTCATTTAGATAAAATTGCCACAAACATTTAAATGGGAAGATTAGTTCCCCCTCACGCCTTATTGCACTCGCTCAATGGTTCCGTTAAGAACATTTTACACGTTGGAAATTCCGTCTTCTCAGACGGCTTGCTGTTTCCTAGTTACCCACATTCAAAGCAAAGGCAGCAGCAAAGGCAGCAGCAAAGGCGGCGGTGGCGGTGGCGGCGGCAGCAGCAGCAGAGAGAGAAAAAAAGTTTTGGCAACTGGTCTGCAATTCATCCGCTGCTGGCCCCAGCCTCCCTCCGCCCACAGCAGTCCGGCCCCCCCCATCACCTTTCTCTCCCCATTAAGTAATTTGCTGAGTCCTGTCCTCCGGAGAACAAGTTGCTCAGGTGTATGGTATTTGAATACAATGTTAAAATACAAAGAAGCCGGTTTGTCCCTCTGTCTCCCCAACCCTGCTTCAGCTCAGAGTTTGAGGCTGTAGTTTGAAAGTGCTGAGTTTCTTACTCTGAGGCCAAAAGGCACGTTTTGGGGCTTTCTTTTCTGCCAGGACATTTCCAGGAAATTCACCACTGTTTCTTGCTTGTATAGAAACGTGTGAAAGAACTAGTTTGAAAAATCTTTGCAACGTCTAGTTTCTCCCTCTCCTTTTCTTCTCTCTCTCTCTCTTCTTCTCTCTCCCTCCCGCCTCCCGCCTCCCTCCCGCCTCCCTCCTCCCTCCCACTCCCCCTCCCTTCCCTCGCAGAGCTGCAGGAAAAGAAGAATGTCGGCTTCGACTGCCATCTTTTGGGGATTTGGAAAAACGACTCGGTAGGAAGCGGAGGGAGGCGGAGGCGCGGGGGGTGGGGGGGAACCCCCTTATTATCCTGTGTCGGAACTGGCTCCCTTAATCTGATGCTTAAATATTTGATGTGGAAAAATTACCCATAAAATTAGTTACTAACAATTTCAAATTGAAATCACTTATCGAATTATAAACGCATTAAAGCTGTATGGATGGTATTAGGAGTTCCTCGGGAGGCAGCGGGTGTCTCCTTGCAGTGCGCCCGGCCGGCGAGTTTCGCCCCGGGGAGAAGCACCCCCGCGGGGCCCGGGGAGGGCTGCGGGCAGGCGGACGCGCGCCCAGGCGCGGGGTCCGGGCCCGGAGGACAGGGCCTGGGGGACCTAGCGCGCCGCCAGGCCTGGATTGAGGCTCGGGCACGCTGGGCTGGTGGGGGGCGGGGAGGAGGGAGGGGAAGGAGCGGCGGTGGGAGGCTCCGACCCCAGGGCAGAGGCGCCTACCAGGAAACTTGGTAGTCAACTCGAAAGCTTCTGGAAAGGAGAACCGCCAGCCCAACCCGCCCCTCCCGCGCGCGTCTCCCACGCGGCACGCAGATTTTGCGCTCCGGGTCGGTTGCCGTGTGCAGCGCCCCCCCAAGTCCGCGAGTCCGGGCGGGAGGCGAGACGCCGGTGGCCCGCTGCCGGGCCGTCCTCGGCGCGGGAGAAGCACTCCCGCGGCCCGCCACGGAAGAGGCGAGGGGTCCAGATCTGGACACCGTGGCCCCCTGCGTCCTACCGAGCACAGGGGCCTGGCCTGGACCCCGTGCTTGTGAGGGTCGGTCTTTGCTCAGAGCCCAAGGGCGCTTTGGCCGGGGAGGGGGAGGGGAGCCTCGGGCACCTCCAGTAGCTTCCTATCTCGTCCCCACCGCAACAGGAAAGTCGAGTGTAAGGGAACTGCTGACATGTCCTTGGAGACGAGGCGACCCCCGGTCTTCGCAGAGGGCTGTGGAAAGGCACCTCCCTGGGCGTTCTGGGCCCCCTTCCCTTGGAACCGCTTGGGTGTGCTTTGTGTTGGACTAGAGACTTCTTGATGCATTCTGTTCCCAAGCCCCAGCGCGGCTCTGGGAGGGCGACTCCGTGAGCTTGGGGCTCGGAGGGCTTTGGGGACCCGGGCAGCGCCCGCCAGGCGGGTCGTGAGTGCCAGGGTCAGGGGCCGCAGCAGGGTGGCATGGGCTGCACCCCGTCGCCTTGGGCAGGAGCTCCTCGGGGGACACTTGAAAGCCTCTGCAAACTTTCCCCTGCCTTTTAGGATACCAGCAGGCCCTTGGCCCATGTGAACTCAGCAACACATGACTTGATTCAAGCTCCGGGGTGGGCGCTTGGACGCCGGGTGGAGTGGCATGGAATTGGGTAGTTCTGTCCCCCGCCTGGCCTGGCCGGCATTTCCCCTGGTCTCACTCCCCTCTTGCGTGCCACCCCGCACCCACTTGACTGTTCGGCGGTCCGTAGCATTCAGCGTGGCCAGGTGCAGTTTATGGGAGGCTGGGAATCCCAGAGCCGAGGAAGGAGCAGCGAGGGAGAAACAGCGGGGGATGATCTCTTAAGGGAGGCGGCTGATGGCGGGGAGCGGTGTGTGTGTGTGTGTGTGTGTGTGTCAGTCACTTTTTGGCCCAATCTGCCCGCCAACGTGTCTGTAACATTCTCTCCCAAGGCGGAGCTGAAAGGAAAAACAAACAACATATTGAGCAATCAGTTCGCCAACATTTGAGGTTTCAAGAGTTTTTGCCCTAAAAACGAGTACCCCGGGGGTCTTGGCGGGGAGATGGAGGACGTTTAAGGTCTGGGTTCTCGCGGGACCGCGCTCGGGGGTCGCCCCTCCGCGTGCTGCCCCCTGCCAGCCAGGCGCTCTCACAGCCCACCGTGGGCGGAAGCCAGGCGGCGAAGCCCTGGAGAAAAGGGATTTAGTTTTAAGCCAGTCTCCCATCGATCGGGTCGGTAATTTCTACCCCTGCCCACTCGCAGACATACTCAC